AGAAGAAGGAAGGTGCTGATGCTGCCCGGAAGGGTGTGCCAACTGACACTGCGGTTCCTGAGGCTTCTGCTTCTTCCGAACAGCCTGCTGACAAGACTGCCATTGTCGACCTGACCAAAACCGAGAAGAAGGTGGAGGTTGACAAGCCAGTTGGAAAGCCGGCCGAAAAGAAAATGCCGAAGAGTGAAAAGCAAAAGGCACCAGAGTCCAAAGCGCAGCCCAGACAGAAAGCGCCGCGACTCAGTGTCGAAGCTGATGCAGCCCTTCGCAAGTTGGAAGAAGCAACGGAACGCCAAGAGGGATCAGTATGGTTGGACCCCAATGACATGATCAACAGGATCCCCAAGGAGTATTGCGGCCAAGGGCGACTGAGATTTCTTTCCACAAAGTTATCTTATGTTCTCCGTGGACACGCATTGAGCTATGGTGCTCGCAGCCCAGACATCGATCCCATGGATCTTTCGATGGATTTCGAGGCGGTGATGAAGACGATGGCCCACTACGTCTCCTACCCGAAGATCAGTGAGGTCCTGTCCATTGTGCGCAACAGTGACACCAGGCGCTTCCAGGTGAAAGTGGCCCAGCCCGATTTGCCTGAAGCAACCTGGAAGGGTTTGCCATGGAAGGTTGTCGCCATCAGAGCAGTCCAAGGACACAACCGCGCAGTGGTGGAAAATGCCAAGATTTCATCGCTGGTGAAGGAAGTGTTTACTCTGGATCCAACCTTCTCCAAGGCTGACCTCGACACGCCCAAGTTGCCAAGGACAAACCTTCGTCCAGACCTTGTGCCGGAGTTGATGGCTGCACTCCCAAGGGTTATCTACCATAGCTGCGACAGGCTCGCTATGGAAAAGATAGTTGAACATGGTCTCATCCCAGGTGGCTGGCCCCAAAGAACAGGAAGGGCGCATAATTTCTTTATTGCGTCGCATCCATGGGATGATTCAGTCGGTGGCAGAAAGCTCGCGGGAACGCGAGCCGGGAAGCAATATTACATTGCCTTTGACACCGAGCTCATCGTCCAAAGCGGCTGCCGATTGTTTCGCACAGACGAAGCAATCATAAGCCCTGACTGGATCTCCAACGAGAACATCATTTGCACATATGATGCTGTCAACCGGGAGTTTGCCTGGGTGAATCGCCCCTATGAGATCACACGTGTGGGGTACAACAGCAAAATGAAGACCCACAAGGACCAGGACACCCCGAAGAAAGAAGCCTTGTCCAAGAGCCCGTATGCCAACGCCAGGGACAGTCTGAAGGCCTACCTCATGAGCGGCAAGTCCATTCGACCAGGCCAGATGCAGATGACTGACTCTCCGGAGGAACTTCCCCCACTTCTTCGTCGACGTGAAGGAACTTCAGGACCCTTTGAAGACAAGGTGACGTTGAAGATGGCCTCCTTTGGTGCTTTGTCCAATGCTGAAACCATCCGCAAGGGCAAGGGCCGGGGAAAAGGCAAGGGAAAAGGAAGCCGCCCGGGAGGGCTGGCCCAGCGCTCAACAAATGCTGAGGATTACATCTACAGCTCAAAGATTGAGATGCAGCAGGTCAGATGCCACTTCTGCGGTGAACAGAACATTGAGGGCACCCACAAGTGTCAGTCGTGCTTCAAATGGCTGATTGCTTGGTCGGATGGAAGAATTGCGACAGAGGTATGCCGGATGGAAATCTCGGCCAAGAAAACCAATAAGGTGTTTTCCCTGGACAAGATCGATTTTGAGAAGCAGCCACGTGCTCAGCGAGTTTCTGACCGCACCCGAGCAGATCAACGTCGAGCTCGACGAAGTAACTTCGGAAATCTCAAGGACGCTGCTCAGACACATGCGGGAAGGTACACAAAGCTCGGCTTCAAATCGATCCAGGACCGCATGGAGAAGGACCCATTTTATTTGTTCAACAATGCGGTTGGCCAGATAACCCCTGACTGTTGTCAGTTTTTGGAGGATCTGGCAAAATGCATTGCCCCTGATGTTGGCCGTACCCGAGAGAAGCGAGAAAAGCAGCTGGGAACAGGTGTCAGCACTCGTTTGATTTTTATGCCTGACTTCAACAGAGACATCCGACTCCCGTTGGACGTTACTAAGGAAGCCATGGTTGCACATCATGCACGTGTTTTTACACTCCCACAATTTGCTGTTCTTGCTGCGGACTTGCTGAAAGCGAGGGGGGAACCCACGCCGATGTTATTTGGTTGGTCTGGCTCAGTGTTACCTGTGGATCAGGCTTCAGCCCAAGATTGTTTCTTTGACCTCGTCGACTTCGCGAAGAGGCAGTGGAAGGAACAATATGATAACATCAAGGGTGAAGAGCACTCCTTCGTGGATGAAGCCACCGCATCAGATGTGGCTGAGTTTCCATTGGCAAGGTCCTCCAAGACGGGTACTGGCGAAGGGCGAGAGGGATACCGGCGTCACTTTGACCCGATCCAGAAGCCAGCCAAGGGCAAGGGCAAGGGTTATGGTCAGCAACAACGACCAATCTTTCAGCAGGCCATTGAGTGCTGGAAGTGCGGTCAGTATGGCCACAAATCCTTTGAGTGCCGCAGTGGATGGAACCGAGGGCAACAATGGGGTTCGTATGGATCTTACTCAAGCCGCTCGGGAGGGCAGGCCCAATGGCAAAGCTGGAATTGGAATCAGGGCTACTCTGGCAGAGGATGGACTGCTGATCCTTGGGGAAGATCTACAGCATCAAGCTCCTCAGCAGCTCCTCCGGAGCCAGTGCGGCCACCTTCAACAGCGACGCCTGTGCCTGACACAATTCCTGCTGCTGGCGACCCTGCCCAAGCAGCCTCTGGATCAGCTCCTGCAGCAGAACCTCCACAGCAAGTGCCGAGGATGCCGCTCGTGATTGCTGAGGAGTACTGCGAGATCAACGGCCAGCCGCACTTCAAGCGCACCTACAATGATGGGACGGTAGAATTTGAATCTTGGTAGATGTTTCACATCTTGTGCCATGATTTTTATGCCTACCGGAAGGTTTGGCCGATTGGATGAAAGCTGACCTATGGTCATTCAGTTCAATCGAATTGCACACATTTCCAAAACTTGAAATTTCAACTTGATTAACTTGATAAACTTTCCCAATTGCTTCAAAAAGAGTTTGACACCAGCATCCGATCCATGTAGCATGCGTGTATATAGCCGTGTACATAGGCCTGATACAGTAGCTTTCAAGTTTCCAAGGCTGTGAAAGGAGTGGTATTGCTCCTATGCCTTGGCGGAAGCCAGGCCGATGTCACTTTTGCTGTTGCCGTGCACGTGCTTTGCCGAGGATCATCAAAATGCATTTGCACCCGACTATACTTTTTGCCTCATGCATCCGAGCTTTGACCAACTATGCATCCGTAGGTAACTCATTGTACAGTGATGTCTTTTATCCCTGCCCGATCTCAGGTCACTTCCGTCGGGCTACATCTTCCGTCCTCCGCGCAACTGCGGGCGGCGGGGGGTGTTTGTAGATTGTATTACTAACTGTACATAGTGTAATGTGTTACATACCGTGATGCAATGGCTCAAGAAAACAATTGCGCTAGCTGGTGCTTTCAGGTTGATTCACCTGTAAAACAAGAAAGAAGTTTCCTCCAGATTGGGCTTCTATTTCAGGCTTCTCAGACAGTCTCACTGTCTGGCGAAGCAGGACTGGACTCTGCCAAGAATTGGTGTCACACCACGTCTCTAAGTCGTTAACTTAGATTGAGTTTGTGGATGTTTGTGGCATGTGTTGCTTGTTTTTGTGGCATTTCAGACCACCACAATTATTTAAAGGCTTACGCCTGACAGCCGGGCGCCGGCCAAGCAACGACGTTTGGCTTATGGTGTGGGAAGGGCCGAGATTCTCCGCGCAGACCCAGGAAGGGCTATGTTGAACTGAGGCAGGCATAATGCGCAGTGCTTGCCTGTATGGAAGCAGTCTGGGCCTATGTTGAGCGCAGGTTGTGCCCATGTTGGGCCAAGTCGGGCCCATGTTGAGCCATCTTGGGCCCATCTTGGGCTTATGTTGGCCAAGTCCATCTTGGGCCTATATTGGCCCAGGTTGGGCCTATGTTGGGCTATCTTGGGCTCACGTTGGGCCACTTTTTGGCCTATGTTGGCCTCTGTTTGGCCTACGTTGACCCATGTTGAGCCCTCTTGGGAGCTATGTTGGGGCCAGGTTTGGGCCATCTATGTTGAAACGCTCTTACGATGCGAATTTTTCCGCCCCGGGCCCCCTCCTGGAGCCCAAAACCACGTAAAAACCGAGGTTCTGCAACATCGCCAAGATGAAATTCCTTGCCGCCGAAGGGTAAAAAGCGATGTTTTTTAACATTTTTTTAAAACACCGCAAGCAAAATACACCGTAAATACAGGGACTTCAGTGATTCGGGAGTGGTATGGGAGTGAACCGGGGGGTCGGCGGCAGGGCCGGCAGCGCCTATAACCGAAGGAAGGCCTCCGGCAAGGACACGGGCTGCGGCCCGTTGGCCGGCGCCCGGATTTTTTGAATGTGCCTTGGCATTGCGTCATTAAGGCGATGGTTCTTACCTTGCTGAGGCTCTGAGGGTGAAGTGGTACAGTAAGTGGTACTGTATTGGAAGCGTTGACTTCCTGGAAGTGAAACCTGGTCTTGGCAGTTTTTTGTTTGTGTGTCTTTTTTGTGTTCGTAATATGTTGGTACAGTACCAGAGCAAGTGAGAAGGTAAAAGTAGGTGTAGTGAACCTTGGTAAACAAAGTGGTGCTTGGCAGTATGTGGTATTGATGTTGCTGTTGTACTCGTTCTAGTTGTCTTTCTCTTGGCACTTGCTGGTCCTTTTTATATATGATCCCCTGTCGTCGTTCTTGTTGCTGCTATGAATCTACTATTTCTGTTGCTTATTCCGATGTTGTTTTGGTGGCTGTGCTCGTGACAGCCGGTTTGGTGGCTGGCTCCAAAGAATTGTTTTTTTGTTCCATGGATTTTCTACAACGTCAGCACTACCTGTAGTCTTGAGCGCGTTTGGTGGGTGGGTGCCACCAAGGACTCGCGCAAGCATTCATGGCGAAGTCGACCTGCCCGAAAACTGGCAGAAAGATCTCACAGCGTCGCGGAAACCGGGCGAGGCAAGCACCTACAAAGAGTCGCCGGGAAGCGCCATGGAATCCTCCAGTGGGAGTTGCTCCAAGAGCCCCAACGGCCTCCACCATTGGAAATATGGAAAATGCAATTTCTGTCAGCAAGCAGAAGGAAAGTTGGTGAAAGGTGCTGGGGTACTCGCAAACCCTGGGGGTGCAGCTGGGTGCAAGGATGGTGGCAAGTGTATGTTCAAGTTCTCAAAGTGCACAAAGTGTGGCAGGAAGGAATTCTGACTTCAGCTTGGAGAAGGCTTGATTACAGTTTGAAGATTCATCTTCTGTCAAGCTGGTGGTGATTGATTAAATCAAGGCCACCCAAGGTTTCTTCCGATGTACCGTACTGCTTACACAGCCCAAAGAGGCGATATGCTTTTGGCAAAAGCGGGCTTGCAGATTGGTGCAAGATGTGTATCTGTATGGAACAGATGTTTGCCACACCAGGGGTTGTTTCGCCCACCTTGTTTGTCACACATTTACGCCGCTGTCTTGCTGAGCTTCATCTGTCCTATGATAGTTCATGATAGTCCTATGTGTATGCTATCCACTGCTCATCTGATTGAATACTGTCAGGATGGGTTCAGATCAGCTGGCCGACCAGCTTCATGAGGCACGCCACAGGCTGAGACAGTGGAGTTGCATTCTGTGCTATGTGTACCTGATCCTGCGGATCGTTATCTTGACTTCGTTTTCACTAACCTAAACTTAAACCTGGCCTTCGTTCCAATAATTATGTGTTTGTCTTTTTGGAGAAGATCCTGCAAAGAAATATCGGGCAATTCTCCAGTTCCATCAATTAAATGATGCCCGAGCTGCTCCTGTTATTCTGCCTTGCCTTTTGATGCAGCTTCTTCAACATATCACTTCGAGGTCGCAGCCTGCACTTCTGAAAGGAGATGCAGCTTTGATGATACTTGTCTATCTGCTACCATCCTCGTTCTGAAAAAAAACGGATCACAAACAAACATTTCAAAAAAAGCGATGAATGTACAGATCATACTTATATTCTGCCTGCCTGACTGTCTGTCTATCTATCGATCTATCTATCTATGAATCTATCGATCTATCGATCTATCGATCTATCTATCGATCTATCTATCGATCTATCTATCTATCTATCTGTCTATCTATCTATCGATCGATCGATCTATCGATCGATCGATCTATCGATCTATCGATCTATCGATCTATCTATCGATCTATCTATCTATCTATCTATGTGATCGATGTGATCTATGTGATCTATGTGATCTATGTGATCTATGTGATCTATGATCTGTGTGCTCTGTGTGTTCTGTGTGTGTGTTTGTGTGTGTGTGTTTTTGTGTACCATCTGAATAGATGTAAAATGTAAAACTTTTGGAAATGTCGTTTATTTTCTTCAACGATGCAGGGGGCCACCGGGGCCCCAGGGGGTTGGTGGCCAACGAAGACACCCCTTGGGTACCTGTGAAAACGTACCTGCTTCTATAATCCCCGAGGTCATTTCTATTTGCAACAGACATGGCACGGGGCTAAGCCAAGAACCCCAATGCAGAGTTTTCACAAACATGGCGAAGGGCTAAGCCGAGAACCCTGATGCGATGACTTGTATGGGCTTATCTGGGTTTATTGGGACTTGTTGGACCAGTTTCACACGATGGTCTCGGCTTTGCACGGTTTCCTCAATCTGTTCATTGGAAAATGTTCTTCATGAATTTTATCGGGATCTTATTTGGCGATGATTTTCATTTTCTGGGGCCTACTTGAACGTGTTTCGGGTCGTATCTGGTCGTGATTGTCTTTTCGGAGTACCTCCAATTATTCGCATACTACTTCTTAGGTTACTGTTTTTCCAGTCAAATTTGCACGTGAGGGGATTCAGTTCCCAACGGATCACTTAAAAGATCCATTCCTGTCTGGTGTGATTTCCATGGTGACTCCGACATGGTGCCATGGAGGCATCCCTTTTCAGGGAGAATGTGGACCGATTTGACTACCGAATTAACACATTTTAACCTGGTAATTCGTTTACGTAAAGCGAAACAGTTGGCCTTTTCGTTTATCAGCCTTGTTTGCAACATCTTGCAGACTCTGCTGTCCCAGTGCCTCCTGGAAAATTTTCACTTCTACTTGAGTTCAGCCGTGCAGAACAATCAGAAACTCCTTTTTTCGCTGCAGCGATAGTTTTTGATGTGAATCATGACATGAGCTACTGAAGGCAACAGGCATGTCCTCTTCCTGCAGGTATGGTCTTTTTGGTATCTGGTGAGGTTGAACATATCCTGCATCTAATTCGTTGGAACCTGAACAGCTGTTTATGCCTACGTGGCTTGACTTGACAACGTTCCCGGCCGGGAGTAACGCACGACTCTTTAGGAAAGAAATGAATCCGCTCAAATTGTAGATAGATTGATATCATTTTAATCAATTCGATCTGACCGCCATGCTTCCTTGGCAGAGCTCTATGCCAGCGTGGCCTACTGAACCATACGCGAGCTCTACAGCACCTTCACCTACAACAGTATCACTAACCTAGACAACATCACATGTGGTACCAACTTGCATAAAATTTCTGTTGGCCGATTCAACTTTTGACTCGACCCTTTTATTTTATTATGTCTGGTGCGTTTTCGATGATTTTGTGAATCCCGCAGATTCTTCTCATATAAATTCTTTGCTTACCATGGATAACAAACGTGATGCGACCAATGCAGACCTCCCGTGGCCCAACCCGCCACTGCGGCCAAATCTTGATGGCCCACCTTTGCCTGGTACTCCGTCCTCTACGAGTTCGGCATCAACACCTTCAGCCACCATCCCGGCCACCGCTGCATCCTCTTCGGCCCCTGATCCAACAGGCCTAGCTCCTTACGCCTCGGATCCCTCTGCCAACGGAGCACCACCATTCCCACCTATGGATACCTCCTGGGAACATCGAAGTCATCACGTGTTCTTCAGGGAACAGACTGTGCACCAAGTGTTCTTCAAAGTCTTCACCTATGAAAATCAACGGAAGGAACTGTGGATCAACGCGGTCAATTTCAAAGGCTACTCCCGATTCCGCGAACCTGAGCAATACTTCTACTTTTTGATAGGCGATCGATGAGGCCTATGCTCGACACACTGCGGACTACTGGCGTGCCTCCTTCAACATTCCAACTCTACACTTCGAAAACCCTCACCGTTACGGACATCGAAATTACAACCTACATCCGACCACACCCAACATCCCTATGCCTACACCAACGTCGACACCATCCTCTTCGACACCAAACATCGCCACATTGGCAGCCCAACTTCAAGAACGACTTTTTGCATCACCTGCGCCGGGTGCCAACCCAACTACTGTTATGTGCAATATGACTCGAACATTGACCCCTGATCAACTTCAAGCTTAGCGGTGGGACTACAAGCTTTGGCATCTTCGAGTCCTTCTGAGCAGAATGAGCCACCGGCTGCGGGCTAGAGACTTCGAATCGGGCACATCAGCAGTCTTCCAAAAAACAACCCTGCTGCGGCAGGGTGTGTGTGTGTGTGTACCATCTGAATAGATGTAAAACTTCTGGAAATGTCGTTTATTTTTTTCTTCAACGATGCAGGGGGCCACCAGGGTCCGAGGGGGTCGGTGGCCAACGAAGACACCGCCTGGGTACCTGTGAAAACGCACCTGCTTATTTAATCCCCGAGGTCATTTCTATTTGTGACAGACATGGCACGGGGCTAAGCCAAGAACCCCAATGCAGAGTTTTCACAAATATGGCGAAGGGCTAAGCCGAGAACCCTGATGCGATGACTTATCTGGGTTTATTGGGATTTATTGGGCTTTGCACGATTTCCTTATTTTATTTATTGGGTATTTTCATCGGCAATCTGATCGCGTTCTTGACGATATTATGATTCCGCTCCTTTTGACGTGGATATTAGTAAATGAAAGGAATGGGATTTCTGATCGATAAATAGGAATGAGATAAAAATTCAATGAATTAATATATGGGCCGAGACATAAAATAACAAACATGAAATAAGTATATATAATTATTTGAGACCGTGAAAAACAATTTATTTATCTGAAAATTAGACTGTTTTAAAACAAATTATTAATTAAATAATTCTTGGAAAAAAATATCCCTTTAAAATAAATTTTGATTTTCGCTTATTTTTTCGCAAAATATTCGCGAAACACTTCTACCCGTAGATCCCAGCCATCAGCAAGGAATACATCAGAAAAAAAAATCAAGGGAC